TCTTTAAGAGACGAAAATACTCAGAAATGACCGAATCATAGGATTTTGCCAAGAACAGTTACCCCCTGCAAAGTTGTCAATCGATACCACGATTTCAGCAACCAGATATAATCGGAACCTGTCAAAATCAGAAGTTAACCCATTCTCCTCTTCGTATTTGCTCTCTTTGAGAGGGGTAGGTACTTGGATGTAATCAGAGTATGAACAGCAACCACCCTATGGCAAAACCATCGCCGATTCCCACATTCGAAGGTTGCTTACAAGCAAGCTGATTAATAACGAAATTGCTTATTGAAGCGCCTAGTATTAAAGAATTATTTCCCGTGCTTTTGAAATGAATATCCGGCAAAACGTCCTTACTCCTACGCGTATCTATTACTTTATCTGTGTTTACAGATAAGGGATGAAATACAGACTGCGCACTCGCTTGTTTTTTAAGCATAATTTCTCTAAGCATAGAGATTGCTTACTTGCATGTATTCAGCAAATTCTCATGAATTAAAAGCCTAGCCAGCACACTGTTCTCATAGAAAATGCTAACCCGTTGCAGACAATGAGTGTACGTGTCAAAACTTCCTCTTTTCTCTCGCTCTCTGTTCCTTATATCCGTTTTGCAAATTAGTCACATGACTGCTCAGTACATGGCGGGTAGAAGGTGATGATTCCTGCTTCTAATCGCACGCAAAGTTCACCCTGTGTTTACGGCTAAGGGATGAAACACAGACTGCACCCTAACATTTCTTCTTGCACACGACACTTAGTCCAATCCCTTTTATTCTGCTATTTCATTCTCACTAATTTTATTATTACATTTTAAAAAAGAATTTGCTGTGGAGCTGTAAAGAAACCTGACGCTGAAGTTGACAGCACCTCTGGCTGCTTTTTCTCCACTTCATTTGTTGCTTGCGATGGCAATAATGGCAGTGATGATGAGCGTAGACGCTGTGGAGGTGATGTTTTCTCCAGTAGATGAGCATCCACGCAAAATTCATCGGTGGTTTTCGGACCGGTAGTGGTGAAAGTGTTGGCTGCAGTGAATGATGTACTTAATGTAGTGATCTCAACTGATGTCCTACTGATCGTTATCGGCGATGGTGATGACGAACAGGAGGGTTGGCAAAGCGGCAGTGAACATGGAAGCACCACTGAAAGAAACATATAACCTCATTTGAAAATATTATTCTAAGATGTCGAAGACAGATGCATCAACTGTACACGATGTAGTGCCTCCCTCATTCAGCACCATAGGCACCCCCGCCCCCAGCAACACAGGTACCAGTGCTCCAAAAGTCAGGGTCTAAAGCTAAAACTGAAGAAAACTCTCTTCCGCACCTCCACCGCTCCCTCAGGAACCTCATTCCTCTTGGTCATCGCTCCATCGCTAGATCCAGTTTCTTTTCCCCACCTACTCGTCGCCTCCTCCACCCCTCCCCCCGCATCCAGGAGGCTGCCCTAGATCCGTCTATGTTCAGCACTATAACTGGATGATCACTATTGTAAATAGACTCGAAGTCATTAGGCTAAAATTCGAGCATATCAACTACAGTTTGGGATTAACGCCACATATATTCAAAATTTGAAAAAAATTTAGGAGACCAATATTTGTGCAGCTATATTTCGCGCATCCTGAGCTTAATTTAACTTTCCAGCTGCTAAAATTTCATTTTATCGCAATTCGGTAAATTTAGTGTCCTCCGATCACAAAGCAGTTCGTTGGGGCGGTGGCTCATTGTCCAGCAAAGTACAGGCCGGCGATAAGATTTATAATCTGCGATGATTATCGTCAACTCTTACTGCACACAAAGAATAGCATCTTTTCTGGAATGTGAGTGCAGCTGGTGTACTCAGTCAAAATGTTCACAAAACTAAAACAAAGCTCGGATAAAAAAAAAGCGCACCCTTAAGAGCCGGACAAAAATGACACTTCGAATTAGTGTTCGAAAAGTTCACATTTTTACGTCACAAAGGTAACAAATAATGGAACTAAGATCTACCGCATAAAAACAAAAAGAAATATGGCAAAATTTCTGCTGAATGAACAAAAGCGAAGATCGGGGAGGAAGGAACAATCGAAAATTGACCTAAATAGCAGCTGATAAAAAACAGCTACTCGCCAGTAAGTTTATTGACGGGTCCTTCTTTCGAGGACTGTTTTAGCACTAAGTTGAAAAACAGTTGCGTGCCAGTGCCAATCTACCACCAAAATCAACCAAAAGATTGCATAAATCCTAGTTTCCTGTCTGGAAACGATAGCTGGGACATCAAGGATGGTG